TCTTCCTTCAGGTAGATTGCCAATAAATAAAGATAGAAACAATTGTGGAGCTTGATTATCATTGTTTGACACATCTTATAATATTAATTTAAGCAAGAATTATAAATAAGTGCTGAAACTAGTGAGGGCTGAGAAACAGGCTGTCTTCATATTTCACAGTGTCTCCCCACAACGTTTCAAAAGGACAGATAATACCCTTATAGTAGGAAATCTGGCAGATGCTACTATAACCAAGTAATCAAAGTGGACATGACCAGTTGTGGGTCATGACTGATGGCCATCATCTGCCTTCTGATAGGATGAATTGTGAAAGACACAGCATTGTTTTTGTGGTAATCCTGCCAAAGTGCATAACCTCAGTCTAATCATGGGAACACATCAGACAAATGCAAACCAAGGGACATCCTACAGCATGCTTGCCTTCTTGGAGAATGTCAATGTCTTGAATAATGAAGACAGATTAAGGAAGGAAGAATTCTAGATTAGAGAAGGCTAAGAAAAAAATAATGTTAGTGCACTGTGTGAGCCTAGACTGATCTTAGGGACTAAAATTATTTTCCTGAAAAGGATATCATTGAGACAGTACAAATCTAAATATCTGTACATCATCATGTCAATGTTAGTTTCCTGATTTTGATACTTGTGGTGTTAGAAAATACACACCAATACTTGTAGGGGCAGAGGAGCATCCTATCTGCAACTTTCTCTCAAATATTTCAGAAAAAATATGTATAATATATATATATATATATGGAGAGAAAGAAAATAAAAGAGACAAATGTGGTAGATGTTAACAACTGGTGAATCTCAAATTCACTAACCTTGCTGCTTTTTTTTTTAGAGTTATTTTATTTAACTTTATTTATATATATTTTTATTTTAATTTGACCAGAGAGAGAGAAAGTGAGAAAGCAAGCCACCAGGTTCAGGATTTGAACTGTAGTCACCCATGTGGGAATCCAGCGCCTTTAGCCACCATGCTATCTGCCAGCCCTGACCTTGCTGCTTTTTAAAAACTATTTCACCGTGTGTAATTACTGTTCTGTAATTTTTATGTGCCGAGTCTGAAATGACTTAAAGGAAAAACACCTCAGATGATTGTAAGGCAGGGATGTTTGAAAGCTACCAGATGTTTGCCAGGAAGATTATTTGCTGCCCTTCCCTCCAAGCCCCCTTTGTCTCTTCAGAGGTGGGCAGATTATCACGGTGTGTATGTGTATGCATGCATGTGTACATGGGTAGAAAGAGGTCCCAGAGACTCTTGTGAGCGCCATCTTTGTGATGATTTGTGGGTGTCCCATGATTGCTTACTTGACTGACTTCACATTGGGAGTGTACACAAGGGAGTAACTGATAGCCCTACCTTTTCCCACCGTGCAGGTGCAATTTTTTTTTTTTTGAGAGGTTTTTGCTATAGGGTGCGTGCACTCACCAGAGAGACAGAAAGTGAGAAATCACCCCCCAGGGAGGATGGCCACGCCGTAATCCCTTCTCCTCCATTCTCCTCTCGGGATCATGGGCACGCACGCACACGTGCCCAGCGTGAGTTTAAGCCACCAGGTCCAGGACTCGAACCGTGGTTGACTACATGGGAACCCAGCGACATAGCTATTACGCTAACTGCTGGTCCAGAACTTTTGTGGCATTCTGCCTCATTTGGGTAGCTTAGAGGCTCATGTTACAGACAGGATGCCTTGTTTTATGGGGGTAAGGGGCTTCACTTTCCTGTGGCAGAGCTGTATGTAGCATTTATTTTTTGTGTGTGAACCTATTCCATCTTAATTCTATTTGGTAATGATATCTTGGTTGATTAATTGGTTATTTAATCCCATTCATCCCTGAATGGCAGGAATATGTATCCCTTTTGAACCTGTTTCAGGATCGTACATCCTGTAAATCCTTGTGTTTTGGTCAAGGCTACACATTAGCACACAGACAAGGTGGAGCCCAGGGCAAAATCTTTCCCTCTGGGCAAGAAGGTGAGCACAACGCACAACTTCATCAGGCAGGATCGCACAACTTCATCAGGCAGGATCGTGGGGATTAAGCCTGGCCACACGTGCCCTGAGGTGCACAGCTGGCCTGCATAGCACAGTGTCTCTAGGGTCATTTGAGGAGAACAATGGCGGTTTTCTGTTATTAAGAGAATGAAAAACACTAATATTGGGGTTCAGAAAAGTCATGTTGCATTTTACATAGAAAAACATAGAAAAAATACATCATGACTTCTGACAACCTGATATTTGTCTCACTTAGCAATACTGTGAGGACCCTTCTGGAGTCCAGGGTTGGTCTGGGAGTCTGGATGACACAAGCTCTGCATCCAGATTTCATCTTAGCTTTCCTTAGCCTCCATCTAACTGGTCATCTTCATCCTTATTTCCCAGAGTTCTGCCTTTTTCATTTTTTTCTCTTTCTCGCTAATTCAAACTACCTTTCCAGACCTTTTTCCACTTCACTTCTAAGCAGGGTTTCTTTGCACAGTCAGCCACTCCCCACATACCCTGATCACCCTGCCACACACACAGTGCATAGGTCCTGCACTTGGAAAGGGCCCATTCTGGGTTTAAAGTTCTGCTCTTGGGTCAGCTGATGACAAGGGGGCTAGGTGATGGATCCCACACTGCCGACTCTGTAGTTTGAGTCTTGGACCGGGTGGCTTGCAGAACATAATGGGTGTATGTATATGCATGCCCAGAAAGAGGAGAGTGAAGGAGAAGGGATTGTGGCGTGAGCATCCTCCCTGGGGGCTGATTTCTCACTTTTCCTCTCTTTGTCTCCCTCTGGCAAGTGCAAGGACCCTATAACCAAAAAACTTAAAAAAAAAAAAAAAAAAAAGAAGAAGAAAAGAAAGAAGAAGAAAAGAAAGAAAAAGAAAAGCTCTGCTCTTGCCATCTGGAAAGTCCTATTAACTTTTAAGCAAGAGGCCCCACATTTCCATACTGCATTTGGGCCTGACAATGATGTAGTCAGTCTTAGTCCCAAGTGCCAGGGATGGAGAAGAGCAGCTCCTAGATCTGGGTTGGCATCTTTCTCTTGGGTCTGACTGCTATCCCTGAGAGATAAGCTCCTGCACTCCCACCCGGACACTTGCTCAGCTTTGGTTAGCTAAAATGTGATCTCTGACCCTTGGCAGATTGCCCACATTGCTGTCACCCTGACCCAAACTGTTTGGTTTCTGCAAATGCAATCACTTTCATTTCTGCAATCTACCCTGCTCCCTGCACATCCCCCCCAAGATTTACAGAGTAGCAGCTGCTGCCATCCCTCTGCACACAGACAGCTGACTCGCCTGCTGATTGTGAACATCCCAGTAATCCAAGTGCTAATGGTATTTATTCAGTCCAGCCGGCTTAGCCCCGAACAAGGTTTATTCTCATTTATCGTGTCGGAGACGAGCTACGTCCTTAATATCCTTCTGTTGACTTTGAGCACACCAGCACCACTGATGTCTGCGAGGCATGCCAGGGCCCTGCTCTTTTAACTCACTCATAGCCCCAGCTGTCAGGACACCCACCTTCCAGCCAGCAGGACTGGCCTCCTCAAGGCATGGCTACAGCTCTGGCCCAGAGACCACCGGCTGGAGGGGTTTGGGCTGGCACATACATGCTTGAAGTGTCTGGCCTGAATAAAGCTGTGCTCTTAAGGTTGTGATCTGGCCTCTGTGTAGCAAGCCTACTCTAATAATACTCTTTCAGCCACAACACACTGGCTAGCATTTTGGCATTTAATGATTGTTTTGTTTTGTTTTGTTTTTGAGACAGGGTCACACTCGGTTGTCCAGACTGCCCTCAAACTCACGATCCTCCCACCTCAGTCTCCTAAGTAGCTGGAATTGCAGAAACCACCTCCATCTCTGGAGGACCTTGTCTCTGCTACTCCAAGAGCCTGTGAGAGGTGGGGCTTCTTAGTGGTGCGCCCTATTCTTTTTTTTTTTTTGGAGAGGTTTTCGCTACAGGGCGCGTGCACTCGCCAGACAGACAGAGAGAGACATAGAGACAGAAAGCGAGAAATCACCCCCCAGAGGGGATGGTCACGCCGCAATCCCTTCTCCTCCATTCTCCTCTCGGGATCTTGGGCACGCACGCACACGCGCCCGGCGTGAGTTTTAAGCCACCGGGTCCGGGACGCGAACCGCGGTCGACTACATGGGAATCCAGCGACATAGCCATTACGCTAACTGCTGGTTCCCTACCCTATTCTATTTTTAGCACAAGGTAGTCTTAGCCTTGCCTCACAGGTGAGGAAACCAAAGTCCAGAGACTTGTCTGAGGCCATCAACATTGTTCACAAGATTCCCACAGAGGGTCCTCCAGGCTCTAGCCGCTGCTCTCCCTAAACCTCACTCTGAGCTCTTTTAAGCATTACTTTCCCCAAGGTGCACAGCTCTGAGCGTTCCGAGCCCAACACTGAGCTGCTTGAGGGAGGGGAGTTCTTTGTGGGAGCAGGTTGGTGTCTACCTTGGGGGTGGACTGCCCGGGAAATAGCCAGCTCCGCGGTTCCTTCTTGGACTAAGGGGCACCTGGCAGCAGATCTGGTCTTTCCCGCCCTCTCTCTGTTCTGTTTCCTCATCACCTTGACTGGGCAGCACTAAAAGTCTGTTTTCTGGGTATTTCATGGGCCCTCTGAAGCTATGAGCCCTGGGGCTGGGCCCAGAGAAACTGGGTCCTTGTTAAAGCCGGCCGTGTGAGAAGGCCAGGTGTGCCACAGGCACTGTCCCACTGTACCCACCAGGCCCTTCGGGGTTCTGCTGCAGGTGAAGAAGCAGGTCCACTGCTTTAGGACCGAGATCGCAGCAACTCTGAAGAGTGTCATCAGGCTTTCCCTCTTTCTTTCTGGTTTCCTCCTCCTGTAATTGAGCTCTAGTCTTCTCTACTCTAATTGAGCTTTCCTCCATGGGGATGGGGTGGATGGGCTGCTGCTGACCATGGATAGGTAGCTCCTGGCTTATATCAACCTCCCTTCTAGAAGAGAGAACTTCTGTCTGTCCTGGCTCCAATATGGAAATGGAAGGGTTCTGGTTGCCCAGCCCTGGGCGATTCCCTCAGGCCATGATGAAAGGGCACTGTGATGGGCTTTCTGCGTCACTTCTGGAGGGTCCTGTCTCTGCTGCTCTGAGAACCTATGAGAGGTGGGGCTCCTCAGGGTGCTCCCTGCAGCTGAGACGATGTCGAGCCTCAGAGCTCCCCTTTGGTAGGCACCACTTGATGTTTGTGTGAATTTCTTCTCGGTGCATCGTCTTCTCTTTCTAGACCCTGCTTGTCGTGGGTGAGTGTTCCTTAGGCACATGATGGCAGAGACGGCCTAATTAGTGTACGCTTTGATGAAGCAGCTGCCTTTCTCTAGTGGGGGGGCGGGACAGGGGGCAGGGAAGAGGCTCAGCCTGCAGGCTGCCCTGCATCGGCGCCCACCTGCCTGTCTGGAGAGGAGCTGTCAGCCTTCCTTCCCCAGGGACCCCAGCCCTTCTCCAGGCTGCTGCTCAGACACAACACGAGCTGGAGCTGCAGCAGGACAGGTCGGCATCCACCCTGTGCTGCTTTCTGGCTGAGAGGATGCAGAGGGACCCACAGGGATTTAAAGAACCTCCCATTTTACAGTAGGAAAATTGATTGAGCGTGTGAGGCCTGTGTTGAGCCTTGAGGCTGCCTAGTAGGAATAGGAGGGGCAGGCCATCTTCTAGAACCGACTCAAGCCCCATCGTCCTCCCTTTTGGCCAGTTTTGCAGAGCACTTGCTGTGTGCCTTTGGGCAGTGGTGCGGTGTTCAGTCTCTCTCGTTACCTTCCTCCCCATTTTTCAGGGTTTGGGACCAGGAGCCAACTCTCTCTGATTTGTTTTTGCATCCCTATGTCTTGCCTTACTCTCCAGGATGCCATAAGGGCCCCTGGTTAGGGGTTTTGGGAAAGAGGAGGTGTTTTGCGGGGATTCTTAGGGAGCTGCGGCCATGCCAGGATAAGGCAGCCAGAGGTATACTGAGACTTCAGTAGACTTCAGTGCCATCTGTGGGCTGGCTGGGTAGGAATGGCAGCCATTGTCAGACCTCTGGACTGGTCCCTCCTCTTGAGGCTGGTCTCAGGCTTTGTGTGCGTCTGCCCCCTCCTCTGGGACCTCCTAAGTGGGCTGCTGAGGAGGGGAGCCCTGACCTTCACCATAGAGGTCCCTGTGTTTGGTACTTGCTCCCTAATTGATCATTAATGTGATCTTAGAGAGCAGGGAGCCAGTGAAAGGCTACCTTGCTGGTGTTCCCAGCCATGTCCGCTGCCTGGTATCCTGCTCTAGTGGAGGCTCCCTACAGGCTCCATCCTTTCATCCAGGAGGGCTGCGGCTGAGATGTTTGTTTCAATCATGTCACTGTTTCTCCAGCCCAGGATGGGGCAAGGAGTTCCCGAGGCAGCCCTGGGTGCTGAGCGTTTCAGTCTTGCCTGCTTGTTTTGTGGTCCAGTCGTGTGGGCCCCACACTGTGGCAGGCTCTGTTCTGAGTGCCAAGAATACGGGGCAGCAGAATCACGGCGGCGCTCTCACAGAGCGCAGGACCTCGTGAGAGGCAACTGGTTTAGGATATCCTCGTTATTCAGAGCGCCCGGGATCTTGTCCTTTCCACCTACTTCCTCCCACAAGCATTGTCTGTGCACTGCATGCTGACCCAGGAGAGGGGAGCCAACCATTAGGAACTGTCTCCCAGTATGTGACACAGCTGGGAACCTGAAAGGAGGCGCCTCCCACACTGGATGCATGAAGAAGGCTTCTCAAGGGAGGGATGTTGAAGTAGCACCTTTGGTGTCAAAATGATCTTAAGTGATAGAGGTGAATTACTGCCCCAGGTCACCCCAGCTCATTGGATGCTGGGAGATGGCACTGGGGTGGGGCTCTTTGCCCTGTCATCTGTGCCCTGGGCTTTGTACCAAGTGAGTCCACACCCGTAAGTCTGCTCAACTGAGTTCTAGCTTGTCCCAAGGGGAACCTCCCCTGTGCTCCTTGTTTTGCCTAAGGGATTGCTGGGGTGATGTCAGCTCCTAACTGCCTGGACCCCTAATGGGGCAGAGTGCTCATGCTTTCCTGTGCTTCCTCCCCCAGCAACCCAAAGGTTCAGGTGGAGGCCATTGAAGGGGGAGCCCTGCAGAAGCTGCTGGTCATCCTGGCCACGGAGCAGCCTCTTACTGCAAAGAAGAAGGTGTGTTTCTATCCCTTCCCTCCTGTCCAGCTTCAAGCGTAACTGTGGGACCTGAGAGAAAGGGCCCTTTTCAGCCTGTGCATGTCACCCTGGGGTGGGGGGCAAGTGTCGTCTGCTACACTCAACCAAAGCAGGTGGCAGCGTGTCAAGGTTCCTGGAGGCCTGGGTGCAGCTCCAGGGATGCAGCCTGGGGCCCTGGCCTCGGCTTCCAGCCCTGGGCATCTGTCTACTCATTGGGTAATGAGGATGGTATCTGAGGTCTCTCCTGGCTCTCAGTCCTGGTTCAGGGGTATTGGTTGGGGCTAGGAAGATGGGTGGTGGGCTAGGCTCACTGGGACATTTCTAGTTGCCTTTTTCAGGGTTGTGGCAGGTCTAGCTCTATGTGGCCCTCATCTGACCCTGGGTCTGTGCCTCTCCAGGTCCTGTTTGCACTGTGCTCCCTGCTGCGTCACTTCCCCTATGCCCAGCAGCAGTTCCTGAAGCTGGGGGGCCTGCAGGTCCTGAGGAGTCTGGTCCAGGAGAAGGGTACCCAGGTGCTGGCTGTGCGTGTGGTCACTCTGCTCTATGACCTGGTCACAGAGAAGGTGAGTGCTCAGGCCTGCCCTGTCCTCCTCCACCACCTGCTTTACTTTCTAGGCATATGACCCAGGCCCCCTTCAGAACCTCCTGTCTTTCCATCTGTCTAAATGGATGGATGGTCAGTCAGATGAGTGGATGGATGAATAGAAGAGATTTGGAACTTCAGGGAGGTTGTCTTGTGGGGAGCCCTGTAGAAGCTGGGTAATCCTGGCCATGGAGCAGCCTCTAACTCCTAGAAGGTGTGTTTCTATCCTTTCCCTCCTGCCCAGCCCCAGGCTTAACTATGGGACCTGGAAGGGATCCACAGTTAAGCTATAACCTGAGGTCTGGTGGGTGGGAAGAGGAAGGGGAGCTTGACCATGATCAGAGCCAAATGTGCAAGCAGAGGGCTCCACATGACCAGAGACCAGGTCAGGGCCAGGCTCTTCATGGACTGAAGGCATAGGGCCAGGCTGGTGAGAGCAGGAGGGAGGCCATGGCGGCAGCCAGGAGGCCAAAGAACTGACTTACGATTCTAGACATGGGGAGAGGCCTCCTTTGGGAGCTTTGGCTCCAGGCAGGGGCTTAGAACAGCTGCCCTTGAGAGCCCTGGGGGCCCCATTTGATTGCCACCTGGGGAGAGACTTGGCGCTCAGCCCACTTTGGCCTTTGCAAGCCTGAGAAGTGCCTTCATTAAGAAGGGCAGAGGAAAGGCAGCCAGGCCTGGATTCTCAATTCAGCTGCTGCAGAGGGCATTGGCAGGGCTCTCTCAGTTGCGTCTCTGGGGCCACACACACTCCAGAATGGCCCTGTGCTGACCGGCAGCCCCTGGACCTGCTGCTCAATGCCGACGGCGAGGCGACCA